AAAAGTCATGGGTTTTGCTAACTTAACCATTGATAGCAGAACCAAATCTCAAAGAGAAGGAATACAAGAATAGAATATTGAGTACACCATAATTCAAGGCTAATGTTAGGCTCTTCATTGAACCTTTAATCGATTTTTTTGAAAATCATTTTCTGCAAAAAAATTCCTAAATCCAACATGAACATGACAATACATTAGCAAATCAAAAAAAGTTCGATCACGAAACACATTATAGGTACCGAAATTTAGGTACATACATTTTCATTACAATTATATTCTATTCAATGGAAGTTACTGATGACAATTACAAATTTCAGTGCTCTTATGTATAGGAATGTAAAATGTTGGTAAAAAATCTCGTAAAATTAATAAAATATAATGCGGAACTGCGTTCGGCTTCAACTTCTCGGAAAGACGGGGAATCACGGAAAGACGGGGAATCACCGCAGCATAATTCGCTGTTGCCGGTGAAGCGCCAGCGTGGCCATATTTTTATACTGATCGAGGTTTTATACTGATCAATAAAATTTAAGAAAAAAAATGTCGATACATAATATATATCAGGATAAATATCGTCACATAAATATCATGATATTTATCAAGATCTATATCCGGATATTTATCACTGATACCTATATATCCTACTAACCTTGGTTTTTTCATCTAAAGAAATTGCATCTAAAGACTATAAGAGTATCAAGACGTTCTTAAACAAAACACTCATTCTTAGAGCTTATCCGCAGTCATTTGCAAAAAACAAGCTTTTTCAAACAGGGTAACAATAATGGAAAAGTCTACGAATATTTTCAACATAATATCTTGCATACCTAATATCTTGAATCATGAGCGTATTTCTCACAGAATTGACTGAGCCATCATTATATCCGAGATTATATCATCATAAAAAAATCAACTACATTCTATTCACTAAACAATTTCATAGATGCGCGTAAAGTAGGAAGACGATGATGGAAACCTACTTCCAGTTTTTTTGCATTTTTTCCATATATAGCCACTACGATGCATCACATATTATTATGTAAGATGCAGAAATATTCGAGGAAATATTTCATCACATGACGATTCGGAAATATTCAGAAAAAATTTGTCATGTTCATGTTGCAATTGAAAATTTTTTTGCAGGAAATAATTAACAAAAAAATCGATAATAGGTTCAATGAAGAGCCTTAAATTAGCCTTAAATTATGGTGCACTCAATATTCTTATATTCCTTCTATTTGAGATTTGGTTCTGCTAGCTTAACGGTTAAGCTAGCAAAACCCATGATTTTTTTAAAAAAACAGTGTGCGAAAAAATTCGCAATAGGCTAGGATCAGAGCCTTGAATTAGCCTGAAATTATGGCATAATTAGGTTTGTGATTGAAATTTTTTTGGTTTGCTATTGGTTTGTCATGTTCATGTTGGATTTGGGATTTTTTTGCAGCAAAGGATTTTTCAAAAAATCGATAATAAGTTCAACGAAGAGCCTAAAATTAGCCTTAAATTATGGTGCACTCAATATTCTCATATTCCTTTTATTTGAGATTTGGTTCTGCTAGCTTAACGGTTAAGCTAGCAAAACCCATGATTGTTTTAAAAAACAATGTGCGAAAAAATTGGCAATAGGCTAGGATCAGAGCCTAAAATTAGCCCTAAATTATGGCATGATCAGTTTTGTGATTGAAGTTTTTTTGGTTTGCTATTGGTTTGTCATGTTCATGTTGGATTTGGGAATTTTTTGCAGAAACTGATTTTTCAAAAAATCGATAATAGGTTCAACGAAGAGCCTAAAATTAGCCTTAAATTATGGTGCACTCAATATTCTCATATTCCTTCTATTTGAGATTTGGTTCTGCTAGCTTAACGGTTAAGCTAGCAAAACCCATGATTGTTTTAAAAAACAATGTGCGAAAAAATTGGCAATAGGCTAGGATCAGAGCCTAAAATTAGCCCTAAATTATGGCATAATCAGGTTTGTGATTGAAGTTTTTTTTTTGTTTGCTACTGGTTTGTCAAGTTCATGTTGGATTTGGGAATTTTTTTGCAGAAAATGATTTTCAAAAAAATCGATAATAGGTTCAACGAAGAGCCTAAAATTAGCCTTAAATTATGATGTACTCAATATTTTTATATTCCTTCTATTTGAGATTTGGTTCTGCTAGCTTAACGGTTAAGCTAGCAAAACCCATGATTTTTTAAAAAAAATAATGTGCGAAAAAATTGGCAATAGGCTAGGATTGGAGCCTAAAATTAGCCTTAAATTATGGCATAATTAGTTTTGTGATTGAACTTTTATTTACGAAGTGGTTCTGCTAGCTTAACGTTAAGCTAGCAGAACCCACGTTTTTTTACATAAATCGAAGAGCAATAAATTCGGCAATAGGGTAATAAATTAGCCTTAAATTAGCCTAAAATTATGGCCGAAGAAAAAATTGAAAAATTCGAAGTGGTTCTGCTAGCTTAATGGAGGTCAGTTTCCCGCAACAGTGCGGGAAAATTTTCCCACACTAGTGCGACTGCTTGCCCGAACTCCGCTTCGCGTCGTTCGTGTCAACGGCAGTCACGTGCGGGAAAGAATCACTTTCCGCGCTTGTTAGAAAAATTACTATTCCAATACTGGGGAAAAACGGCGGTATTGAAAAATAGGCTGAACAGTTTAAAAATTGGTCTGGTTGAAGTGTATACACAACTTCTCAAAATTTTAACTGGTATACCATCAGGACCATAAGATAACTTGGGTTTCAGCTGACCTATTGCATCGAAGATATCTAAAACTGATATCGTGAATTTATGAAGTTCCATGGTTCTAGTAAAATTTTAATTTGGTATTTCAGTTTGGGTATCAGAATACACTGATGAGAAGAACTTGGCAAATAACTTAGCAGTATTATTACCATCATTACTAAATTCATTGTAATAATAAGTGTGCATTGGATATTCATTGATCTTTCTCATATCCTTGATATGTTTACAAAAATATGAGGGTTTAGAGGTTAGGTTGAATTCAAGTCTGTTGATATAATTGCTGTAGCATCCATTGCTGATTAATTTGCATTGATTTCGTAGAGGGGAAAACCTCAAGTAATCACAATGTAAACGAGTCTGTTTATATCTTTTATGAGCAATTTTCTTCTCAATAGTGAGTTTTCTTAGGTCGGCTGAAAACCAACTTGGAAAATTACTAGATCTAAACTTCTTTACAGGAACAAATATGTTGCAGTATATAATATGTTATAAAAATTAAAGCCTGTATTTCGTACCATTACCATAGCAACTAAACACATTTCCTGGAAATTTCTGCCTCCTTGGGGGACGGAGCATGAAATTACACTGGAAATGTTTTGACGTTTATAGGTTTAAATGGCATTTACATTCAACTTCAGATTTTTTCGAGTTCAGTCTATAAGTCAATAAATAAAAATCATTTACCAACAGTTTACCAAATTTATAAAACCATCAAGAATCGTCATTATACAAGTAATTTTTCAATAATATTTCAGTGTGAAATCTTCTTACCGAATACCACTTTAGCTTCAATTAATATACGGGAATTTTTTCTCGAAAACGAATATTTAGAAAATTCTCGACTCGGGAGAATTTTCAAAATATTAGTGTTCTCGAAAAAATTTCCGGAAATAATTGAAGCTCTCGTGATATTATAAGTGAGAATACCACTAATTTGAGTCACTTGAGCATGTCAAAAGCAGCTATCATATCAGTTGCCATCCGACACGTTTTTAGTTCCTAGGAGTCTAACTTCAACTCCTAGACACTATAAGTGTTGCCTAGCAACATGTATACTAATCATTTTTTGTGTCAATAAGAGAAACGTCAACGTCAAGAGCTGATTTTGGAACAAAAATGGACGACTTTTGAGCCGATTGCAGAAAAAGAATATTCTTTGGAATTTCAATGAATTATTTTTAATGAGGTCTGGTAATACTTAATAACTGACAAAAACGTCAGGCATTTCTCCTTTCGAATTCAATGAATATGAAAGGTAAAGAAAACATTAAGTTGCCAAAAGTATATTTTTTTTAAATGTTGATGAAATATTTTTGGAGTGGTCTAGTAATACTTTATAACCGACAAAAACGTCTGGGATTTTTTATTTCGAATTGAATGAATACTAAATTGCAAGATACAAAAGAACTCCAGTTGCCAAAAGAATGTTTTTCTGGATTTTTTTTCTTCAAATGTTTTATGCTGCACAGTAACGAAATAACCGCAAACGATCTACCAGATTTGAGGAACTGGTATCTGCAATTCAAGAATAGTTATTTTTGTGTCTAGAGCGCGAAATGCTACTTTGGTGATCGAGATCTGAAAAATAGTCGAGATGACCAAAGTATTTCGCGCTCGAGTTGCAAACAACATTTTTTCTACAAACTTCAAAAAATATAGTTCTAAAGTAAAAATATGCTTAGCTTGATATAAAAAATAGTGTTGAACTGGCTTTAAAGGCCTCCCCCTATCCTCCCTAGGTACGCACGATGTTCCACGAACATAATAGGAATCACCTTTCGTGCGCTTCAAGAAATGAAACAAAGTTATTGTTGAACATTCAGAAATGAATGATTCCATGGATGTTTGCTGAATTGAGGACTATAAAGTTGGAATATAAATATCTCATTAATTTTACATAACAATGCGCGAAGTAGGTACTTCGCGCACTGTTTTACTTCGCGCATTGTTATGTGCAAGGTATCATGGTAACGTAGGAAACTGAAAAAAAGTGTCACTTCGCAGTTTGTTATCAATGCGCGAACCTTGTCATTTTTTGACGTTTGTAGAAAAATTGTATTTTTTCACAATTTCAATTTTTTTTTATCACTTGGAGCGCACTTGCTAAAAATACCTTCTCAAAATTCATCACCAGCTCTTGGGCTACAACAATACTTGATTATACAAGAGCTCTCTCTCTCTCTCTGTTGAACTCAGTTTTTAAAATCATCTAGATGATCAATTTGAAAAATATTAATTTTCTCTTCTCCTATTAGGATCAAATGCTTCTCAATATAATCATAGAACAAATGATTTGTGATACCGATCCAGAATTAGGTGGGGCTGTACAGTTGATGGGAGTATTGCGAATACTCCTGGATCCAGAAAATATGTTGGCGTCAGTTAATAAATCAGAAAAAACTGATTTCCTGAACTTCTTTTACAAGCATAGTGTCCAAATTCTCATAGGTGAGTACTTTTTTCTAATGTCACTGAAATGTATCTCATAAAATTTTGTCCGCCCGTGCTTGGATCAATATTTCCAAAACTATTATACCTACTATAAAACTCATTTAAAATTAAATCATTTAAATACTGAAAAAGAAGTTACAAAGGTTGAACTGACATATATACCGGGTGGCTACGGAAGTATTGCCTGCGGAATATCTCAGTTATTATATGAAGTAGGTTTGTGAAATTTGGAGCGTCGATATAATGACAGAAGAGCTAGAATTTGAGCATATTGACATGTCGTTAACTTCTGGTCTGACCGGAAGTAACATCAACTTTCTTATTTTATATGGAAACCTTATTTTTTTTCTTTTCGCTTTATTCAGCATTCAATTCCCTTTCTAATGACATATCACAAGTTGGCATCTAACCAGAAACTAGATCAGAAAAAAATTATTATTGAAATTCACCGAGTAGAATAATAATTGGACTTTTTGGTATTTAATTACAGAAAATTACTTTCTATTATATCATTAGAAAGGAATGGTTATGCTGAATAGTACAGGCAAGAAAAAGTTGTATGTTCCTATTTAAGTTATGGGCCTACAGGTATTGTTTTTTTCCCAATTTTTCCAATATTTTTTTTGGCGGCTTTTTATAACGCCGACGAATGAAAATAAAATATCACAGTAGTAGCAACTGTTATCAAGTGACGTATGGTTTCCATAGCCAACTTTTCAATTTTTAGCTTTCATTTTGCTTCCACGGCCTACTCCGGTGAATTTCAATAATAATTTTTTTCTGATCTAGTTTCTGGTTAGATACCAACTTGTGATATGTCATTAGAAAGGGAATTGAATGCTGAATAAAGCGAAAAGAAAAAAAAAAGGGTTTCCATTCAAAATAAGAAAGTTTATGTTACTTTCGGTCAGACCGGAAGTTAACTTCGACATGTCAATATGCTCAAATTCTAGCTCTCATGTCATTATATCGACGCTCCGAATTTCACAAACCTACTTCATACAATAACTGAGATATTCCGTAGGCAATACTTCCGTAGCCACCCGGTATATAGGTGAATCTTTTTCATCCTATGGAAGAGTCAGCAACATCATGATGAAAATGGTGAATTAAACATGTTTTCTAGTTTGGTCATCATGAATTTTATAGGTTCTTGTTGAAAAAAAGGGGATTTCAATCTTTTAAATGATGTTGTCATACTGCCATTTTTTAAATTTTTCATCCATTGAAAATGTTTCGTTATTTTTATAATTGATATGTTGGTACTGGTATAATATGGTAAATAATGCAGTACTCTCAATGTATTTTTATATAATGCAGATATTTTATTGAGTATATAAGACTAAAGGAATATACAGAGTTACATTGAAATAAATACAATTATTTCAAACCCAAAGAAAGCTCGACCTATACTATCGGATAACAATGAAATTTCGGGTGAGACCCCTTTTTCCACCAAAATTTTCACACTGGAAATTCTGACGTAATCTCTGTACACATTTCCGCGAGGAACACACAATTACGCAGAATTCAATTATTTAAGTTTTCCTGAAGTGGCACATTTCATTTCTGTTCCAGTTTTCGTTCAATTTTCAAGATGACATTTTTCATTAATTAGAAGAATTAGGAAAATCTTATATTGTGGGAATATTTGTTAGACTGTAGGGGTCTATTCAGTAATATATCGTTAGAATACGATATCGTTACGTTAACGATACATTGGCCAACGCCAATATAAATGGTAAATCCTAGAAGCTGATTCAGTATCGGTTTCGTTAGAGAAAACAGAATGTTGATGTTCTGTGGCTAAAAAATTCGTGAAACGTTTATCTGTTCTCAAAAATGTTAGGTTCCTTCCTTTCAACGTTTCAGAAAACAAGAAAATAATATTTCCCCGCTTTTTTAGTCAACCATTAGTACCTATACATTTGGCAAAGTAGCACATCTCATCTGGTAACTATCAACTTGAATGGGTTGTTACTGTAGTAGATCAATTGTAGGTATCCCTTGCTGACTTTGTTGTTGCCTAAATTCAAATATCTAGTTTAATTCTATTATCCCAGAATGTTATTTCAAAATTTTAGCCACATGTAGGTATGTAAATATACTAGAAATAATGTTACCTGTGTAAATCTTTTCTCTAACTATCTCTACAAGTGTTCGCCCTGGCTGTTTATTATTATTTAAATAGTCAGCAAAACAATATCTTCCCATATCCACCATTCATATTATACATTTTCATATAATATGATATGGCATCTTCACTTGACGACAATATGCTTCAAAGACAACTGAGCCGATGCCGTCAACAAACGACAAGTTTTATCGTATAGGTACGACAATCGTTAGCTACAGAATAACAAATATCGTTCAGTAACGATCATCGTTCGCTAACGATGTCATTAAGCGTTACAGAATTCGCGAGATTCACGAAGTGGGCGACATCTAGGTTACATAACACGATCTCCAAACTGGGGGAAAACAAACTGTTGTCTATGGATAAAGTGCATAGACTACATTGCATTCAGCTTGCTGTAGCTGTAGTCAAACTTGTCAATTGTTGGCACTGTTGGTAATGATGCTGGTTGAGTTGGTTAATTTTTTTACATTATTACATTATTATTAGTTTAGTGAACAGTGAACGGGTGATGAATTGGAGATAGTTCAAACAAGTCAAACTAATTTTGACAAGCAAAACAATTGACATATAAAAGAACAGCTACAACATGTTTACAATACCCAGATTGTCCTGCTTTGCATGAACAAATACAAATCCATTGTTCTACAGGAGTTCCTCTGGACCCCAACTTCAATTTTACTGCATGTGGGGAAGATTTCATCACCGAAGTTTGTAGACAAAGTGCAAAAATGTGCTTTTTGTTGAAGTCTTCTGCCTCACACAAAATCACATGATTAGCACGGAGAACTGCTTCTCCATCCACTACTGGTCGGCTTTTTCCATCTAAATAGAGCAAAATATCTGCCAAAAGAACATCTACAACAGGCATTTTTAGCGTTTTCGATCGAATATTGACAATGACTGTCAAGAAATTTCAAAACTTATCACTCTTATCAGTACACAGTAGTAGTGAACTAATGGCACTAATAAGATTGAGTGAGGATTGAGATTGTTTTCCCCCAGTTTTGACGTGGCTTTGACATGGAACGATGAAAACCGAGCACCACCTGGTAACATTGATTCCCGCGAATTGCCCCATGTATCATATTGATGCAACGAACTCAATATAAACACCTGGAAGGGAGACGGCCGTTTTCTCGAATAGCACAAAGTGTGTCAGGAGCAGCTGCAACAAAGATAGCTTGTGTTACGGTAACCTGTTTCTTTCACACTTGTGTTGTTTAATGGCGGATTGGTATAAACATTGTCTTTTTCCAATGATTGGAGTACTTGAGATCTTTTTTTTTTTTCATCTAAACAGGCAAAAAAGTGAAGACAGAACTTCATTGTTTTTTGTTATGTGAAATATCGCTAAATATGGCGTGTTTTGTTTCTCAAAAAGGACTGAATTTGTTGGTGTGAATTGATTATTGTTGTAATGATGTCTGCATATCTGCAATTATTTCATGGGCAACTACTTGCAACATTTTTATCGAGTTTGGGACATCTTCTCGGGACTTCAATAAAAGCGGATATTTTTTGTCAATAGACACCTTTATATCTTTGTCTCCCTTCAATTTGTCATTGAGCCAAATCCCAAGAAACTTTTTCTCGTGATTTTGTTTCAATGATTCATTGTTTGAGATCGGGATTCGTATAAATACGTGTTTTCTTTTGATGAATTCTACATAGCGAATAATACGAATAGGTGGGTTATCAAATCGCGAAATTGAGTGCAAATTAACGCACAGGATAGGACCATTTTTCAATCATTCGGCTCAGGATACTGTTTGGCACAGGTGCCGTGCCGTCCGCTAAAATAGAATGTTGGTACATATACGGTGTGTCCCACTTACCATGCTCACCATGGGTATCTTTTTAACGGTGAGAGATACGTGGTCGGTTAAATGACACCAAATGTGGAGTTTGTCAAGGCCAACTATAAGGTGAAAAAATATTTTGATAAAATCTATTCGTTTTTGTTTTATACGCAAAAAACAGATTTTGATCATTTTCATTTCTCCTCCGTAACTTCTTCATTTATGAAAATATTCAAATAGGAATTTCACATTCTCATGGCAGTTTTTCAAGGTGATTTCGAAAAAAATATGAAATTCATACCAACTCTTCGAGAATTTGAGATATCAGCACCAACTTTAGTTTTTCAAATGTAGGTCATAGCTCAATATGACTTAGTTACAAATAACTTTTTTTTCTCTTACAGATGATATGTCGCAGTTATAGCTTTGAGTTGATAACAACGGAGTTATCGTCATTTATACAAAAACAAAAAATTATTTGGAAGCCGCCATCTTGAATTTATGAATTTTAACAAAAGAATCATGATCTCCGACCTCAAAAACCCCCACTTACCAATTTTGAATGGAATCGGACCAAATCTTTTCCGCCATCTTGGTGCAGCCATTTTTTAAAATTTCAACAAAAATTACATAACTCCCATTTACTTGAAATTTGGCAGGTGTTCATAATTCCGGTGACAATCTATTATGGAATTTTTGTTGAAATTAAAAAATATGGCTGCTCCAAGATGGCGGACAAGATTTGGTCCGATTCCATTCAAAATTAAGTAAGTGGGGGTTTTTGAGGTCGGAGATCATGATTCTTTTGTTGAAATTCATGAATTCAAGATGGCGGCTTCCGAATAATTTTTTGTTTTTGTATAAATGACGATAACTCCGTTGTTATCAACACAAAACTATTACTGCGACATATCATCTGTAAGAGAAAAAAAAGTTATTTGTAACTAAGTCATAGTGAGCTATGACCTACATTTGAAAAACTGAAGTTGGTGCTGATATCTCAAATTCTAGAAGAGTTCGTATAAATTTCATATTTTTTTCGAAATCACCTTGAAAAACTGCCATGAGAATGTGAAATTCCTATTTGAATATTTTCATAAATAAAGAAGTTACGGAGGAGACATGAAAATGATCAAAATCTGTTTTTTGCGTATAAAACAAAAACGAATAGATTTTATCAAAATATTTTTTCACATTATAGTTGGCCTTGACAAACCCCACATTTGGTGTCATTTAACCGACCTCGTATCTCTCACCGTTAAAAAGATACCCATGGTGAGCATGGTAAGTGGGACAAACTGTATTACATTTCGTTATCAGATGACGGTAGAAATTTGCAGCCGGCTCTCCTACTAATACCAATTTTCAAGTTTTTCTTCCAACTGTCCGTTGAAAAACTTTTAACGAGTGGCCTACGTAAATCACCCTGTATGTAGTAGTTCGTTCGTTTTGTTGAAATTTTCAATCTTTTTTATGATTGCAGAACCGTTATTGGAAAACACAGCTCATGATAAACCTCAGAAAGAGGATTACAGAAGTGTGCAGCTCTTAGGATTAATTTTGGAACTTCTGTCATTTTGTGTTGAACATCACACTTATCACATAAAGAACTGTATTCTCAATAAAGACTTACTTCGAAAAATATTGGTACTGATGAAGTCAACACACAAATTCCTCGTGCTCTGTGCTTTGAGGTTCATGCGGAAGTTGATAGCATTGAAAGACGAATTCTACAACAGATACATCATAAAGGGTAATCTATTTGCACCCGTTGTCGATGCTTTTGTAAGGAACAATGGTCGTTACAATCTGCTGGATTCTGCTATCATTGAAATGTTTGAATTCATCAAGCTGGAAGATATCAAAACCCTCTGTTCACATGTGGTTGAAAACTATTCCAAATGTTTCGATGACGTTTGCTATGTACAGACTTTCAAGGCACTCAAAATGAAATATGATCAGCATCAGGACAAACTCAAAGACAGGGAAAGAAACAGTTTGGATGGGTGAGTTGCATCATATCTCTAGCTAGGGTTGATAAAAATTATGATCTAAATCAAACTTTCTTTTCAAAGACAAATACCAAATTTTTGAAAAGCTTTATTGTAAAGTATTTTTCTTAATTAAACAATTGTTTTACATTGTAGGTAATTCGGAAAAGGTCGAGAGGACATTATATTATACATTTGGTTTACATCACTCTATGATTAGAAGTCACTCAGACATTAAAACAGGCTTTGGATTAGATATTCTTTACGAGAATCACAATTAATTTGATCATGTATTTGTGTGTTAAAACATCTTTTTTTGTTTATTTTGATATTACTTAGATTATTTTCTTTAAAATATAGCAATTTAGATTTGTCTTCTATTTGGTGAGAAACGATGAATTGTATGACAAAAAAATATATAATTACACGTTAGAAGTAGAAAGCCCTTGATGAGAATTTATTTTCTTAACAGGTGAATCACATAAATTAGACAATAAATTTGTCTCGCAGGCTTTTCACTTTTATTTTCATCAATTTGCTCTATTATGTGTTGCAAATAACATATTATGTTACAAAAATTGATTTCAAAGGAATTCAGTAGAAAAAAATCAAATTGAGAATTGGCATCTGGGTCTCGGATCGCATGCATTGTCTTGCGTTTCTGCATGTTTCAACTTGTTGATAATGAACATGAATTGTTGCCTAAAAATCTTTGTAGATGTGTTATATGGTAGGAGAAAATAAGCATCAGTGAATAAACGAAAAATGCCCAGTTTCAGACACCAAAATCTATGTTTCATTGCCACTGATGTTCAAAGTTTTATTGTTTATCATATTTCTTTGATGTTCATAAATGTAACAAGTGATATGAATATTTTCCAACTTATTTCTGGAGGTACTATACGCGCATGAGGAAATAGTAAAGTCATTTTTGAATTGAATTATTGATACAGAAAAAAGTTCTAGGCTCCAAAGTTGCTTGGTACCTCTATGCCCCATATTTCGATATTCCATAAGCCTCAATCTTTACGGAGGTTCACAGAGCATAAAGTGAAAGCAAGCAGTGAAGCCTGTATGTCATGTCACAGGGCATGGGCAGCTTTTTGAATGAGAGGTGACATTTTCAGTCTCACCAGTTGGCGCTACTAAAACGTGAGGTCAATGTCAAAGTCATGAATCTCAAAAATTTTGTCTGAAAGCCCTAAAAACTCTGGCCTGTTTTATCTAAAGTCACTGGATGGTATTAGTTAGATAAGAGGTCGGACACAGCTGAACTTCGGTCCTTTTCTATTTTCTATATTACAATGGTTTGAGTGAATAAAAGAATAAGACATTTATTCTGCTCTTTGTCTTTTCAATGTCCCTAGTAGCGCCTGATTGTCAGATACGATTTTAGAGGTTAGATTTTCTGTCAAATCAATCATTGACGTAGATGAAAAATAGGAATAGGGTATAAACACCCACCTCAATTTATATAGCGATACACTTTCCGCAGAACATTGGTTATAAAATTCATTGGATCCGGTCACTCATCCCGTTTTTAGTCGTAGCAATGGTTTGGAGCGGAGAGCATCGCGGCTTCGCCGTTCGCACGTTTTTTGAAAGCGGTCGTTCTTTCATCATCACTCAGCGGACATTCCGACGGCACTTCAACATTCCACGTCGTGATCCCGTTCCGCACCGCAATGTTAGCCTACTTCCATCTGTCTGGAACAGTTAACAAACAAAATTTCCGTTGTTGGTCGGACAATAACCCAAGACAAATTCACGAGAGACCTCTACATTCCCCGAAAGTGATTGTATGGTGTGCCATTTCCAAATTCGGGGTTATTGGACCGTACTTTTTTGAGGAGGATGGGCGTACAACAACCGTCACCGCCCGGCGTTATGTTTCCATGCTTGAGAATTTTCTCGAACCAGAATTCGAACGATTGGTTGAAGAACAACATCTTGAGGATATTTGGTTTCAACAGGACGAGGCTACGGCCCACACAGCGCAGATTTCAATGGCGAAACTGCGGCAGATGTTCCCTGCGAGACTCGTCTCTCTAAGGGGCGACGTGGGGTTTCCGGCGAGATCACCGGATCTGAGCATTTGCGATTTTTTCCTGTGGGGTTACCTCAAGGAGAAGGTTTTTAGGCAACGTCCTCATAATTTGGAAGAACTGAAGATCCGTATTAGAGAGGAAATCGCCGCCATTCCGATCGATATGTGCCAGAACGCAGCTGAAAGCTTCAGAAATCGCCTACATCAGTGCATCGCTTCTGGAGGACATCATCTTGCTGATGTGATCTTCAAAACCTGAGTGAAAAAATGGGGTGTAGTACTGACTCAAACAGAATAAACCACTTTTTCATAAGTTGTTCCAATTTTTTTATACCCCTTCAAAACTGCACTGTTTTTTTTGCCGCACCCTGTATTATTGTTGCCTCCTTTTTTCACTTCCACAAATTGTCTTTTAAAAATATGCTTCTGCTGATGATGGACTATTAATAGTCCGAAACATGTTCAGACACTGATAATTCAGATAATAAATTTGTGGTGATGACTTAGTGTGTCTTGCTTATGAACATATGGATATACTTATAGCTAGTTCCTTATTGTAAATAAAACTGTACCCGAGTTCTGATTTTCGGTATTGAAAACGCCATTCGATGATATTATATGACGTTGCAATTCACTTGATTTCCTCAGTTTAGTTCTCACACTTTCAATTTCATTACGTAGAATCAATTCCTCTTTCTCTATGATAATTTTTTTTTTGCATTTCGTGTGATGATAATATTGGATATTTTGTTCAATAGTCTGTTTTGTAAATCAATGTAACAGCCTAAAATATAGTTTCATTCCAATCTGCTGTCGTGAGAAGTGAATTTTGATGTATATACTTACCTCACAAATTTTGCATGTCTTCAGATTAATTTTCCATACACGCCGGTTTATAAATTTCTTCCATAAGAGAATGGTTGATATTTCCTTTGGAAAATTGAAGAAAAGAAATCGCCGTTCCATTCAGTATTCCCACAATTCATTACATAGCAGGACGTTTTCATTTATGCTTTTTTCTCAATATTTTATGAAATTATATTTTAATTCTGACGTTCATATTTAACGGAACGACTATGATGCTGTTGTCACAATGCAAGGTGTGTAACTTAATAAGTCTAAACGTTAAAAAACACTAACAGTTGTCATTCCTGTGTTCGAACTCTTATCTAACTAATACCATCCAGTGACTTAAGTTTTTTCGATGATATTCGGAAAATAATATCTAGAATATTTGAACAAATAGAAAACCTCATGTTATGAAAGTACTTGAGCAGACTTACGTTTTTTTACTCTCAATGTAGAATCTTACCACCAATTCTTACATTTACGGAGAAGAAGATATCACAGGAAGGGGCCAAATGACAGGAAATAAGAAGTATATTTATTAGTTCTACGAACTCAGACCTCACGTTTCAGTGGCACAATGTGGTGGACAATTATTATTGTTGGGCCTTATCGAGAACAAAATGCCGGTTCTCATGGCGACTAACGTGTTCAACCTGAAGTTTAATTTGTTACACTCTATGGGTTCTACATTGATTGTCCTTGAGTGAAAAAATCAGGTTCATGTGTTGAATTTTCCAGTGTTCCCTCGATATTGAGGAATAGTCGGTACCGACGAGATCAGAGGCAAATGGAGGAGGAAGAAGAGATGTGGTTCAACGAAGATGACGATTTCGATGATAATGAAGCCGTACTGCCAGCCACCAATGACATGCTAACTAAAAAAATTGACACGGACCTCGATAACTTGGGGAAGATAATTGAGAAGAAACAGCCGGAGCCGAACGGACCCAAGCCAAACAATAATGCATCACAGAAGGCGATGGTGCTCAACAACAACGCCAACGTTATGGGAAGCACAACCGCTGCGAATGTGGTGCCCAGCACGGAGAATAAGTCGCAGTTATTCAAAAGGGTAAGTTTGTGGGGAACAGTTGAATAATGATAATAAAAATTATAATCTCAATGTACAACCGTGCGTGAAGTAGCACTTTACCGCCCGCGGACTACTTTACCACCCGCGGACTACTTTCCCGCCCGGCGAATTGACAACTATAAGCAATCAATCAATCAAAAATGTACTTTATTGTCAAAGAATAATCTTATTGACAAAGTGTTATAAAATTATTCATCAATGTGTTGCTCATAGTAAGGAGCTTAAATTTATAAAATATAAATTTGAAGTATAAAATGTAAAAACATAAAAGGAGTAAAAAATGTGAATGTACAAATATCATACATACACATGAATATACATGCACATGAATATACATACATACACACATATTTATATACATAGTCAATTACATCAACACTTGAAAAAAATTATAATAATTGTTATTGTATATTAAAATTGGTGTCATTTTAAAATTCTTGTGGACAATAGTATGCATAAGTAGATAGTATGTTTTTAACTGACTTTCAAAACTTTGGTAAGTCTGACATTTGCTTTTAGGTAGTTGGCAAATGATTGTACATTTTTGCTCTTACACATAACTGATTTTTTTCATTATTCCAATTTCGGTATTGGTAAGGATATATTATTTTCTCTGCAAATTTTAATACCAATATTAGCTCTTGAATTGACTTTTCTATTACTGACACAAATATAGGCATGTTGCTAGGCAACACTTTTTAGTTCCTAGGAGCTAAAGTGGAACTTCAGCTCCTAGAAACTGAAAAGGATGTACTAGGTCACCAAGAACAAACAATACTGTTATGGTTGGTTATTTGGGTTGGGACGCATACCTGATTTGTTCCTGATTTCGGCAGATTTGGCATTTCATAAACATGCTGGAGATATAAATACACCATATTATAATAGTATAAGTATTTTCGATTTGATCAGGAAAGCCTTCAGGATTCTTATACTTCTTTGATTTATATTTAATTCATTCTCAGGATCTGATTGATTATATAGCTTATTTTTGAATAATCATGGCCAGCAATACTTTTTTGTCTCACACAAAGATATTGTTTACCTACATTTGATTACCAAGCCAAACACAGTGGAATATGGAGAGAAATAAATAATCGCTATTATCGTTGTTGATATGCTCAATAACCTAACATTTTCCACTTCTTTTTCCCATACCTGGCACTGACGCGATATTTGCTATTAGGGCTGCACCTGGTCCAAATCATGGTATGAATTCATTGATTCAATTGAATCCACAAATGGGTCACTCTGTTATTGTATTTATATTGAAACTACAATTCGAACATCCTTGAAAATTGAATAAACCTGATTTGTAAATGCAGGTAGAATATTCTCACCACACATATTATTTGTTGCATTGCATTGCATACATATGGCACGGCATCCACGTTTCGGGTACAGTATTGAATTCGTGTCTGTAGTATCTGATGATGTATATCAACACAAATTGTAACAAAGTAAAGTCATCGTCCACCAATATTCTAATCTAAAGTAGGTTTGCTACTATCTACTTACCCATAATATAAAAATAGTAGATTGTTTTATTAGGATCAAAAGTGACACTTTGTTTGACAAGCGAATTTTGCATTTGCGAGGCGGAGCGTTCAGCGAAGCCGAGCGAAATCAAAATTTGCGAGTTGAACAAAGTCACTTTTGATCCGAATGAAACATGCTATTTTTTCTGCAACCGAAACAATTAACTCAAATAAAGATCTGAAGTAACCACCAATGCCGTGCCATGTATGCAATGCAACAAATATTGACAAATAATCCATGTGGTGAGAATATTCTACCTGCATTAACAGCAGGTTAGGTTTTGTTCGAATTGTAGTTTCAATATAAATACAACCACAGACTCACAGAGTGACTATTTATCTGTGTATGGACCGCAGGTGCTCTAATGGCAAATACCGCGCCAGTGCCAGGTATAGGAACAAGACGTGGAAAATGTTAGGTTAGTGAGCATATCAACAATGATAATAGTGATTATTTATTCCTCTCTATACTACACCGTGTTAGACTTGATAATCGAATGAAGCTAAACAATATCGTTGTTTGAGACAAAAAAAACTATTGCTTGCCGTGATTATTCAAAAACAAGTTATCCATCCCGAGAATAACGAATGAAATACAGATCACGCAAGTATTTGAATCTTGAAGGCTTCCCTGATCAAAACAAAAATACTTGACTGAGATGTTTATAATTTCAATACTAAACTATAATAAGGTGTATTTATATCTCCAGCATGGGTATGAAATGCCAAATCTGCTGAAATCGTAAACAAATCAGGTATGTGTCTCAACCCAAATAACCAACCGTCACAATGTTGTTCATTCTTGATGACGTCCAGTAGATCCTTTTTAGTTCCTAGGAGCTAAAGTTCAACTTTAGCTCCTAGGAACTAAAATTCAACTTTAGTTCCTAGGAACTAAATATGTTGCCTGGCAACATACCTATTTTTGTGTCAGTAATAGAAACGTCAATTTAAGAGCTAATTTTGGTATCAAAATGGACGCTTTTTGCGTCGGTTGCAGAAAAAGGTATTATAATAATCTGTCAAATAAGTCACATTGGTGGTTACTTCACATACTTATTTTAGTTAATTCTTTCGGTTGCAGAGAAAATGACACGTTTCATTTGGCTCATAAGTGACTTTGTTTCTGCCTCTCATGTGTTGATATATTACTGCTTTTGGCACACCATAAAATTTGTCTGCATTTCTGTAACTTTTGTGTTTATTGAATAGGAATCTTCAACTGCGTTTTGTTTTTAGTAGAAGGGACCAATAGTTTTTCGAATGTAATTGTGCATACTCTGTAACTTGTTAAACGTATCTGTATTTGACTAGCAGCTGTCCTTGATATCCCAGATGACGTCACATACTATGCGCGTAGGCACATCATCTTCTCCTTCCACTATGGTCGATTCCATTTTGAGAACTCATTCATTCTAGTGCACCCTGCTTTCATTCTCGTTTACGCAATGTTTACCTCATGTTGGTATACACTTTGGCGGATCATCAATTATCAATTAGGTCTCCATTCTACTTTGCACCTTCACCTTTACACTCAGACCTGGAACCAAACCAAACCAAACAACCCCACCTTTTATATTGCTCGTTCTTGTCTTTTCGTGACTTTTATCAGTGACCAAAGTAATGACGTTTTTGATTTATGTTTTTATACAGGGTGTATCTAAATAACGCCGAAAAAGTTCAAGGAGTGATTCCTTGTGATATTTTAGCAAATAACGTTGATATAAACTAGAGTCCCTGTATATACCTTAGACAAGAGTCCGGACACAGCTATACTTCTGTCCTTTTCTGTTTTCAAAAAATGCATTGATGATTGAATAAAGGAATAAGACATATATATCGAGCTCTGTCTTTTCGATTTCCCTAGTATCAATGACTGTCAGAAACAATTTTGAGGGTTAGATTATTTGTCAAACCGTTCATAGCCGTAGGTAGAAGTGAGAAATAGGGCTATTTTTACTAGAATAACTATTAAATTTTCAAATAATGAACAACAGGGTGTTCAAATTTCGAATCGATCATTTTCATAATCAATTACTCAGATGGCTATTGCAAATTTTCGTCATCAGATATTTCTTCACTTCATTAGATATAAGGAAGATAATTTAAGTGTTCTACGTGGTATCACATATAGCCAAGAAAATATAGTTGTTTTCTGTTGGTATATAAAGGAATAAAAGATAATAATTTTCTCCGATTCTCTCAATCCAATAACACTCATCAGAAATAAAAGTGACAAAATCAAAACAACAATATATTTGATAGCGAGTGCTTTATTAATTGTGTCGGTTTCCCACCTCTTCCTGCAGTCTACATTCACCTGTAAATATTGAATTTGATAAGAATTAAAAACAGCGTGGACTGACGACGTAGCACATTGCAGTTTTTCTAAATCTTCTAGTTTTGATTTCAAACTTTCAATGTCTTTCCTCATCATCTCATTCTCATTTTCTTTCTCTGCGATCGTATCATTCAGTAATTCCCAATACGATGACGACGGGAATCTTTTTTTGAACGTCTCTATTTCATTAATTGACGGCACAGCAGACTCTTCCATCAGCTTGAAAGAATCTCTATCAATGTGCCTAGAAGTCTTCTTTTTTGTACTGTTCTCACAAGTGAATTTGAATATTTACCTCACATATTGCGGATTTCTTGAAATTCATTTTCCATTCTGGACGTTTCATTGCATTCTTCCATGATCATTCGGAAAATTGAATAACTTGAATCCCTTTTCTAATGAATTATCGCAATAATGTAGGGTGCAGGACATTGAAATAATTTAAAATGCTAAATTTTGGCGGTCATAAAATTTCAAAGTAACAGTGACAGCGGGCGGACGACTATGGTGTTTCGTCACATTATCAGGTGGGCAAACCAAATGGAACAAAATATCAAAAACCCCAACGGCTGTCAGTTTTGTGTCTGGACTCTTGTCTAAGGTATATACAGGGACTCTAATATAAACATGTGTCCTAACTTGCTCCGTTTTTGAGATACATGATGTTGAAGTTGGAAGTAATAATTCTTTTTATATCTAACCCCCCCCCCCTGTAGAAGCTTTCATGGTGGCAAAATTCAGTATGGTTGGAGACCGAGAAAGACCCAACATTTCAAAATAATTGTAATTGGGGTTATTGAGTAATCTCAATGGAAGTCTTGAAAACACCTACATTAAATTTGGAGTCAAATCGAATTTTTATTGATTCCTCAAAAACTAAGCTAGATACGAAAATCAGACAGGGGATAAAAAAGTTTTTATTTAAATAGTTCAGTCTAATAAAAATATGAAACTCATAAAAACCAGTGGCGTACAATGACATTCACCATAAATATCGATAAATTTACCCACTGTGACGCCACTAGAAATATCATTTCGAATCTAATTGCAACATGCGTATGAACTTTATTTACTGAAATATCACAAGGAATCGCCCCTTGAATTTTTTCGGTGTTATTTAGATACACCCTGTATAATGAGTTCTTCGTTAGTATGTGTGTTCATACAAACTGGCTGTTGACTTTGACCGATTTGATCTGTGTAAGCCTTTTCCAAGAAGGACAAAGACACACGAGGCGCATTTTCGCCGAGCGTCTACAGCTCGGCTGCCGACATAGCATAGTTGTCTTATTCTATTACACATGACCGCACACACGAGGCGCAAAAATATTGGTATCCCCGACCACAGCTCTGGCAAAACGTGCGTCACATCATATCGACCATGTGCCACCCATTGCGCCTAGTCACGTTGTCGCGCTTGGTAAACGCTCGGCGCGTCGTGCATTGGTGTTCAATATAGCTGCACAGACGAGGCTGCATTCTCGACCATTCGAAGTCGTTGCGTGTTGCCAAATATTTTATATTATCTGTGTGTCAGTTTCACGATGATGAGTGACGATGAAATTGATTTGGATAGATTGATACTAGTGATTCAAGAACGGCCTGCGATATGGAACATGAGAGTCAAGCAATGTTTGTACCTAGTTGATTCATAATCTTTGAAAAGTAAATAAAATTATATAATTACCTCAATGTTATTACTAATTTTTCCTCTGGTGAAATGCTATCTCTCATCACTGTATTTTGTTTCATATCTCTCTGGACATTCTAACGAAATTGCAAAACTTTTCGTCATCATCTTTGATTGTTTCATTAAATAAATTGAACAAGCCCTTGTCTGCACGTTTTTCCACGATTGGGTGAATCCACATACGTCTATTCTTTTTTTTTTTTCTTCAATCGGCAATACATCAAGCCAATTATTGTTAAGAATTCATCATCAGAATCCATGATCAATTGACAATGTCTCACTTCTTCAGCGTTCTAATTTTCAATGACCATGTTTCAAAAGAAAACTGCGTGTGTGCGAAACCTTCGGCCGCCGCGCGGCAGACGCTCGGCGAAAATGCGCCTCGTGTGTCTTTGTCCTTAGGGTCTTCACTGTAGGACTCTCTTGAATCAAGCTACGATGGTAAAGTTAATTAACAGTAACTGGGCATCGAACTCGGTACCATCGGTTCCAATATGCCTTTCCACCACTCCACGCCCTGACCTCTATATCTTTCTTATCATTGATTTCAGGGCCTGGTCGATTATGAGGGTGGTGATTCAGACGAAGAAGACGAAGAAAGCGGGGAGGTGACAAAGAGGCCGAGGCTCTCATAGTCTAATAGAAAATCCGCAGGTAAGTGCGTTACAAACTCTGGTGACGTGCGGCCAAGTGTGATCTCATAGTGAAAGTGTGCGCGGCGTGTTTACTGTCAATTATAATCTTATCCATGTTAGCCGAGTTACAGTCGACTGTAGGTATGAACATGAAACTTGTCGTGGTTGTACTGAGAACTTGTAGATCTTCAATGCAAGATAATACATTTCTTTCACATGCTTTATTTATATTATGTGGATGAGGGAGTGTATAATATCTTCTTGATTCAGTCCAGGCGAATTCCATTTTAAAAGCACAACCTTTTTTATCTTCCTATTGTATAAATAAGTATTGGGTAATTGTGATGTACAAGTGGCAGATTCTCATCTGTTAACGAATAAAAAATAAGAGATTGAATTCCATGTACATGAAATTAGGATTTTTACCACAAGCTGTTTATATACAAAGATATATACAAAAAAGAGAAACATATTCTTTCTCTTAAAAAAAATGGCATATTTTCTGGAAGCGTGTTATGAAAGGATTTGTACATAATTTCAGGATGTAGTAGACAAATAATTTACTCTTTTTTTAAGAGACTGAATAATATATATATATATATTGGTTTTGAAACCCTTTCATTTTAATTATAAACATCAATAACCCTATTGAGAGCCAACTTTCAAGTCTATGTAAATAAAAAATAGTCTACAGGAGTTTTCCTTAATTTTTGCCAAAAATATAGAATAGATTTGATATTTCAGAGAAACTTGCAGGAAACCTAGGACAGCTATTCAATTTGAATGTGAATTATTCGATACCAAACAAATACAAATTATCCGCATTTGAGGATATAAAATTGATAATATTTATAAATAGGACATTAATTATATATTTCATGTTTGAATAGGTATCAATTCTGAACTCCAACAACATTCTCAGGTTACTCTATCTTTCACAATAATTTGATGATGTTTGCTGTAAACGTCTATGCATATGGGAGATCGGGTATTTTGAAAATGGCGTTCTATTGGAAAGTCAAAAAATCGCTGTAGTATGTGTTCCATCTCAGAAAATTGTAAGACATAATATATAATATCTGCTGTGGATAGTACAAATCACTAATCACAATAAATGTGAATTTTTAATTTTTTTATTTATTATGGAGAGATCAAAAATGGGTCATAATAACTCTAACTAATAAAAACTGGTTATTTCATCTTTATTGCATACAGTATGATCCTGAATTCAAGTTACAAAACCCTAGAGACTTAGAGATTCTTTCCATAAAAAATGAGAAGAAAGGTTCATGTTTACAGGGTGGTTGGAATTCAAGCCTCATCATTGGGATCTCGTAAAACGTAAGAGATGCAGGGTCGGTTAAATTATGGCAAAGTGACGCAGTTTCACGCCTGGAAAATTCCGAATAATTCCAAAGATTTATGGAAAAAAACGAATATGCGCGATGTCATTTTTATTTCATTTTTCTTACTTGAATAGATGTAACAAAAAAATTACACATTTCTTTAATTAATTACACTGTTCTACAGATTTTCATACCGACGTTTCGACTTTGAGCTGCCATCATCAACTTTGTTTTTTAAATACGGCTCTGTATTTTGTATTATGTAAGGAAATCGCGAATATTCGTTTTTTTCCAAATATATTTGGAAGTAGTCGGAATTTTTCGAATTTGAAACCGGCATTTTCTTAGGCACAAAATTGCGCAACTTTGCCATAATTCAACCGACGCTGTATCTCTTACAGCTTACGAGATCCCAATGATGAGGCTCGAATTCCAGCCACCGTGTTCATATGTCCAATCAGTACGAAATACATGAATCGCATTTCTATCAATATGTGAAAAACGCTTTTGCTGATTTGAATTGAATTTTTTGTCTGTTGAAAACTTTTTGAGATAACTTTTAGACCTGTCGAGAGTTTACTCCAAGAACGTATCTAAGGGTCAAGTATGATATTTTTTTCTACTACTGTGCGGAAAAGTCCATTTCCATCAGGTGATAGTTTATATTAGATTAGATTTAGAGTTGGGCCTTCGAGTTACCTGCCTCCAAACCGCGAACTTTTCAGATCTATTGTGTCTGTCCTCAGAATCGTTTAGAGTTCTTTGGCTAGCCCTGCCTTCTCTATGAGACTCCATAGGCTAGCTTTCAGATCCACTGTGTAACTGTGCTCTTTGTTCTCACTCACCCAGCGTAAGGATCCTTAGTCTTGATAAGCCCTCACAGTGGCAAAGTATGTGTACTCCTCCTCCTCCTCCTCCTGACAGAACCTGCACAGCAGTTCTTCATTCAGACCTACCGTACGCATGTGTTTGTTGAGCCTACAATGCCCTGTGAGAAGTCCCACTAGTATTCTAGTTGTATTTCATTTCTGGCTCAGTAGATATTCTGTGGATGTTGGCGATGGTTTTTTAATAAATTCTTTTGCCTGTCTCGTTTGCCTGGCCAGTTGTTCCACCATTCTTGAGATTTGGTTTGCATCCATGATTTAATACTTGTTTTTTGTATAGCTTTCGCAATACCACAAAAGGGTTGTGGGCCATTCAGAGCCTCGTTTGTTTCTGCTCGGGCAAGTGCCCTCGTACCCTGTATGTGCTGGTACCCATGCTAGAGTCAGTCTGTTCTGACTGCCCAGTTCATCTCAGGTGTCAAGAGCAGTCCCATACTAGCTTTGAGTTAACTTGCATTGAGTGATAGTTATTTGTTTTACTAGGCAGATTGACTGCCGCGGCTGATAACTAACAAGGTTAGGAATTCAGCCAAAGCAGTCTATCTACAGCTCCTGCCGTGTGAACCATAGTTTTTTCTCCAAATGTTATAAATCAATTTTGTGTAATTTTTCTATAGAAAACTTCATCATTTTGTGTTCACCCAATGTCAGTGCCAATTTTTATTACCAATTTCCTTCAAATTTCTTGGAACTTTGCATAGCAATAAACTTTTCCTGCCAAGGCAGGGAAAGTACAACTTTCCTGCCTGTTAGGTGTCAGAGAAAAGCCACTTTTCCTGCTGCTAGGAGAAAAACCTACTATTTCAGATATCAATTTGAAAACAACTTGTTGTTTTCCTGATTTTTTTCCACCTTGATTTGTTTTCAATAAAAATAGTCAAGTTTAAAAAACTGAACAATTGATTTTTTCTAGAAGAGAAGTAAAATAAAGAAAACAAAAATAGCAGACTGAAAAGTTATGTTCTCATTGGTTTAACTTGAAAAGCAATAAAAGATTGATAAACCCTTCAGCACTCTTAATCTTGAAAGCAAACCAATTTTGCAAATAATATGATGGACACTTTCTCTCCAGTTTTTTAGGAAGAAATCTTCGCTAGACTTCTGTCACTTGAATTCAGGAACATCCTGTATAATAATTGAAGTACACTTCGAATAATGCACGTTGAAAAAATCAAATCGTCATGTCCGAGGATTTTTTGCAATCTATTAGGTATCGGAAATATCGAATTTGTCTGATATTTTTTACGCGAACTGTATGATAATGATCGATGTTGTTACTAGAGAGATGAGTCTCGAAGTAAAAAAATGTTACTCAAGTTTATTGTTATGGTTCAGTATTTTGAAATAGAAAATGATGAATTTTTTTCTTAAAGGAAGATTTGAAGACTGTAGAAGTTCTCAAATATATATCGAATATTTATATGATTCTGCTACTTAGTTTTTTCCACAACCCAGGACAATAATTTTTTTTGTATTCATTTATGAACAATGTTTTGCTGTTTGAACTATTTCAGTATGGTGTACAATCATAAAGTCATCATGATTAACATAATGTATATTCATTTTTTATCTTTATTTTCACAAACTTCAAATAGATAATGTGAAAAATCAATAAAAAATTTGTTACTATTCAAAACAAGATAATGCGCCATCCAATCAGTCGTAATTTTATGAGAAGCTAAATTAGCCGTTGCATTCAAAGGTGGTTCTAAGGGAGGGGGTAGAGGGGGTTATTACTTTCCCCCCTAGAGGATAACGACAGATACATTTTTTAAATTGTATTCATAAAAAAAAGTGAAAATGAAATTAACAAGAAAATTAAGAAAAATCTCAGAATATATGAGCCACTATAGTTAACAATTTTTCAAAAAATTTCAATAATTTTCATTGTGCGCCTACACTAGTGTCATTTTGGACAGCTGTCGCAATATTTCGTTAAATTGCAGGATATATACAGGGTGGGTCACGGTAGATGGCACCTTAGACGTTTACGGAGAACGGGACATAAGATGATTCTGAAAATTCGGTTACTCAAGTAATTGCTCTTGATCTATCGATCTAAAATATTTTCAGCTCTGCGGCGTTGCCGCTTCTATCGAAAAGTAGCAACAACTTTGTTATTTTAAATGGAACACCCTGTATTTTATTGCATCTTCAGATTCTCTCTGAAGAGCTGATTTCATCGATATATCACACTTGGGGTCTAGCGGAAATGATTACAGAGATATAGGGTGTGAAAAATCGTCATTTTTCAACTTCAGGAATTTTTTTTGTCGAAACTATTCATTATTGGTCAAAACGGCTTACATGTCCCTATCTCAACTTTTGATTAACTATCTACTGATATTTAATTGGGACATATACCGGGTGATCAAGAATCTGAATTCTGCACCACCCTGTATTTGGGATATATACCGGGTGATCAAGAATCTGAATTCTGCACCACCCTGTATTTGTTTCAATTAAATGTCAGTAGATAGTTGATCAAAAGTTGGGATAGGGACATGTGAGCCGTTTTGACCAATAATGAATAGTTTCGACAAAAAAAATTCCTAAAGTTGAAAAATGTCGATTTTTCACACCCTATATCTCTGTAATCATTTCCGCTAGACCCCAAGTGTGATATATCGATGAAATCAGCTTTTCAGAGAGAATCTGAAAATGCGATAAAATACAGGGTGTTCCATTTAAAATAACAAAGTTGTTGCTACTTTTCGATAGAAGCGGCAACGCCGCAGAGCTGAAAATATTTTAGATCGATAGATCAAGAGCAATTACTTGAGTAACAAAATTTTCAGAATGATCTTATGTCCCGTTCTCCGTAAACGTCTAAGGTGCCATCGACCGTGACCCACCCTGTATAACTCATAACTTAATGAGAAGCAGAGCACAGATTTTTTGACAAAAAGACATTGCAAGCTGGACATTCTGATCCACTGTAAAATAGCCTGCATATCGTTATTGTCAGAAATATAAATAGCAGCAATCAATTGCATGTAATGAAAAATTAGAAACTGTAGCGGCTCTAAAGTCAATAAAAATGAAACAAATATCAAAATAAATATAACAAGCTCAGGTAGGTACCTAGTTTGGAAACAACAAAAATGACTATTACCGAGTATTACTTCCCCTAGTAATTCACCTTAGGACCGCATATGGTTGTATTTCCATATCCTACTCATTGGTCACAATGAATCAGATGATATATTTCTGACGCTCGTGCATTTTTTTTTTCATAAAAGCCCTCCAGGTGGAAAAAAAGGGGAAATAGTTATTTATACACCAAGGTAGTAAAGAATATCTTTACTACCAAGGTGTATATTAATTTTTTTTTCACCACTAGCAATATATTTCAATCATTATAGTCCTGTGAAACTGAAATATGGACCTATTGTCACTATGAAAGCACTTCAATTAAAATTAGAATCTAGTTGCCCTGGCCACGACAGCATATGACTAGTTGTTATTTATAAATACCTACCAAGTGCCCTTCTTGCGTATCTTGCTTCAGAACAGTGAATTCGGGTTAATTATAACGGGGGGGGGGGCTATGTCTTTACTGACAAGTAGTTCATAAAATGACAAAAACTACCTTTGTAGAAAAAATATACTTTTTCTGCATCCAACACAAAAGTCGTCCATGTTAATACCAAAATTGGCTCTTGAATTGACGTTTCTATAACTCACAAACATAGGTATCTTGCTAGGCAACACTTTTAGTTCCTAGGAGCTAAAAACGATGTACTAGGTCGTGAAGAAATCAAGAATAAACAACATTATTTGGGTTGGGACGCATACCTGATTTGTTCCCGATTTCGGCAGATTTGGCATTTCATACCTATGCTGGAGATATAAATACACCATATTATAGCTGAGTCTTTTTGTTTTGATCAGGAAAGCCTTCAAGATTCACATACTTGCTTGGTATGTATTTCATTCGTTATTCTCGGGATGTGATTAATTGGATAACTTGTTTCTGAATAATTACGGCCAGCAATACTGTTGTGTCTCACACAACGATATTGTTTATTACTCTCATTTGATTATCGAGCCAAAAACAGTGGAAACATATGGCACGGCTTATACGTGTTAATTCTTTCGGTTGCAGAAAAAATTGCATGTTTCATTCGGATCAAAAGTGACAAATATTGCTTTCACTCGGCTTCGCTAGATGCTCTGCCTCGCAAATGCAAAATTCGCTTGTCAAAGTGTAACTTTTGATCCTAATAAAAAACCTACTATTATGCCTTGAGAAGGAGTAAATAATGATAGGTTCTATAGCTAGTGGTGGAAAAACATCCTTGTTGAGAGCCTAGAATAGTATCCACATGCTAACCAAACTCCAACAAATAATGAATCTCAATATATCACGTGACTTTGACTTATTGTGACCATTTACCAATGAGGATTGGGAATACAAAAAGTGATAATTGTAATTTGCCTCTGTCTCATGATTTGTTCTCCTGATTATCGTCTTGAACTACGTGCAATTTCTTAGGTTGTGAGAGAAGGAAATTTTCCCTTATACGTTTGAAGTAACTTCCAATGTAATACTCTGAAAACACATTCAGATATTTTCATGTTTCATTTGTAATGCTCATTCATTTTGTTTCTGGTTGTGAGAAAAAGTGTAAATAGTAATAATTTCTTTGAACTTCCCTTGTTCTCAGGATGGTGAAAATATAAGTATTGATGGATCCAGAATTGAGAAGTAATGTAAAATTATTGGACATTTCTAAATTGATGGGGACTGAAATATACATATCATGCATGGAGTTTCATTTCGGAATATTGAATTTCTCAGTGATGATAGATTGTATGATTTCAAAAGTATTATATTATATTCATATTATATTATCACGATTGTCTGGAAATTAAATTATTATTTTGATGGATTTTCTCTTTTTGAATCTGAACCAAACGATTTTCTAACACTCACTTCTGATAAATGTTATTTCACTCTTATTTTTTAGGGATCAGTCAAGAATTTCAATCTTGATGTTTATAATTGGCATCTAAAGGGTAAACAGTTAAAAAATGTTCATGATGATGAAGTTGTAGAGCATTGTGAAATTAAACGTAGAGTAAGAAATAATATCTAGCGGTAGATAGCATATAGAATCGAATATCGTCTATAAAAATGTGTGTAGTGTCAATGGAGTGCTTAGATTTGTACAATATTTCGTACTTCGTACTGTCTACATGGTCTCTATATGAAATTTGTTTTCTAGTAACAACTACTGAGTTTATTGAAACTTCGGCATTTATTAATTTCAAGAACTGCAAAAACTATAATTGTATATTTTTTTAATTGATCAAAGCAGTATGAAGTCTTAAACTTAGAGTAAACTATTTTATTCCTATGATTTGTAATTATTGTGATGAATAAATTATCTTTTCATTGTTTCAATTATGTCCAATATTTATTTGCCTGTACAGCTTTTTGCTTCAACTTGAATTTTCACTGAAGTAAACAAGATTTCACTACATTTCTAGTCTCATGCTGTCAGGTTATTTTCCAAATACCCATTATTTCTCATATTGTATACTTGGAGATATTTCAATGAAAATTTAACTCATGTATGAAAAATCCCATAAGCCGCTGTGGTTTTTTCATTATGACAGCGAAAAAACTTTTCCCTATGTTTTCCAACGACAAAGCGGTATCTAACTTTCGGAACCATGACAACCAGAATGGTGAACGAATCTTTGATGGCGTTTATGTCACTCTCTCCCGATCTTGCGTTGTCAGAATCTGTGGAAATGTTGCGATTTGAAGTGGATGAATTGAGAAATCCATCAACAATAATGTGTGATTCACGTATTCTTCAAATTATTGTCTTTTTGAATTTCACTCGAGCATTTTTTGGGTCGACATAAACTCAACATTTATGATTCGAGTTTTGGTTGCCTTTAGGAAATTTAACTCAAAAAAACTGCCAGAAAGCGATTTTTTTTCGTTTAATTTCCAGGCAACACATTCACATTGGAATGTTGAGTTTACTTAGACAAAAAAAAGCTCTCCTGTAAGTGACAATAATACAGAAAAGTTACTATACAACTTCAATGAATTGATATAATTAATACAAATTCACACGAAGTGATCAGGTGCACCATAAGCAAGAATCTCATCCATATACATGACTATTGTGCTTTTTGATGGCCCTCTATTGTATACAGGGTGTTTCAAACAAAACCTGACCCCCTTACTAGGGTAGGTAGAACACTGCAAAATAAGTTGGGTTTACTCAGTAAAAACATTTCGTAACGGCATCCGTTATCAAGATACAAGGTGTTGAAAAAATGATTTTTTTACACATTTTTCAAGATTATGTCGAAACTACTTGCAACATTGTAATGAAATTTTGTATGGATGTTTCTTGAAATCTGACACATCGCATGAATTTTTTTTTATATCTGACTCTCATAGAGGGCTAGTTACACGGTTCGTACCGAGTAGTTTTGAACATAACTTTTTTGAGGTTACATTTTTCAATCAATTTCACACCAAAACAGGTACTCCTGGTAAAACTCGATACTGTGTTCCGTTTTCGGAATATTTAGATTTGAAAATGATGAAGTGATAACTGTTGCTGGTATAAAGTTATGTATTAGAGTGAGTATTATGAAAAATTATCACCTATTTATTGAATACCGAAAACAACAACACATTTCTGATGCTAAACTCATTGATTTAACAATGAATCACAAGAATAACATCGAAACAGATTTGGCTAAGAACATGGATTACACAGTTTTGTTGTATCTTGACCAGAAAGTCTATGC